GATAGGTGTCATTAGCCAAGGTTCTAAAAAGTAACCTGCATCACCTGTAGTTTTATATAAATAGCGATAATTTTTTACTAAAACGTTGAACATTTCTATTATATGCGTCAAGTATTATAAATAATAATAAGAAACGTTATAAATAATATTTTTCTAATTAGTTGTAAGTTTTTTAAAATGAAATATCGATAATAAAATGCATTATTTAAAATGTAAGTGCAATGTACTGAATTAAAGTTTTAAATTTTTATGTTAAAGAGTACATTTTTTCATTTTGTCGACTGTAATTACTTATAAAATTTATATGCAATTTTTTTTAATACATAACTTTACAAATACTTTTGAAAGTATATATTAAAGTATATCTTATATAGTAAAAATTATCTAATAATTTTTGCATTTATATATATGTTATAAAATAAAATAAATATTAAATAGTAAATTAAATAATAATACTAACCCAACAACCACGTTGATCGATCCAGATTCGTATAAACGTATCATTTCATTTCTCGCAGCAGAATATCTCCATATAAAAGCATCATGCACCAATCCCGGAAATCTGGCATTTACGTTTAATATTTCTAAATCATGGGAGGCTATTTGTGTTGATGATAAATATGTATCAATTTTTTTTACATATTAATATATATTATTAAATATTACTCGTAAAATGTGAACGAACTGCCTGCACGTTAATAGAATGAAATCCTTTATGATTTGCATACGCTTCTTCGTGTTCTTTTGGTCTTACCATAGCAACATGTGTACAGTCTATACAACCTATAACATCTTTAAAATTCCTTTCATCTTGAAATCTGAAAAAAATATCAAAGTGGATTATTAAAAAATATTCTAATAATAAACTAGATACGAGAAATAAATAGTTATTTTTCTTAAATATTTACCAAAATTAATTAAAAATATCAAAATATAATCATGAATACAAATAATTGAATTATAATTTTAAAAAGCTACCTTCTTTTTAAAGCAGCCCGCTTTTCCTCTGTTCTTGGGAACTGAATCCATTCATCGGCAAGTATTTGGGTAATACCAACTGCCACTGCTTTTATAACTCGGCTAACAGCAGGTTGTGAGATTGATACAAGATAGTCATTTCCGATACCTTTTTGGTATGAACCAATAGCAAAAAAACGTAATGCTGCCAAAACCTAAATTGCAGTTAAATATATACATGTATGTATTATGTGTGCTGCATGTATATATGCATGCATACGCGCGCGTGTATATTTTAATGAACAAAATTACCTGAGTCTTCACACATAATCCATTTGTTCGTCTACGCTGAAGAGTAAGTTCAAGAGCATTACACAAATAATTTACTGCATCTTTAGATAAACGAAAAACTTTAGTAAACTGTTGGTCCGTCAGATTGAAAGGATCGACAGTATCTCTTAATGTTCTCATAATGATAGTTTTCTCTTCTTGCCTCTTCTTCTTCCAAGACATCCATCATTAACGCAGCAAAAGCCATTTCAAAATTAAAATCTATATATATCAATATTGTATTTTCAAAATTAAAATCTATATATATCAATAATGTATGCGTCTATAATTTATACCAATAAATTATACAAACCACCAAATTATACGTGTATAGATAAAAGTCATGTATGCATAACCAACAAATACTTACCTTACAATTGCGTTATGATGTTTAACGCTGTCCAACAGCCAGCGTTACCACTGCGTTATATAACGCAAGCCTAACGCTCGAAATTTGCGTTAAAGTAACTTGCAGAATACGATTTTCTAGTGACAAACGACATAACGCAAGCTTAACGCTAGCTCAACGCAACGTTACGATATCTTGCGTTAAAATGCACTTACAGAATACGAAATCATAAAGCATGCGTTATAAGCCCCTTAACGCATGCGTTATAGCCATAACGCATGCGTTACAAAGTTACAGAATAGACCTACAGGAGGCTCAGTGTGCGACAATTACCGAATTGCGCATACGATCAGAGAGATTCCACGGTTTATGGAACGAATTCAGGCAAGTACAATCAAATATCGAGAAACTCGTTACCGAGGAAGCAGCTGTTGCATTAGAAAATGACAAAAGATCTAATTTTGAGGACAAATACTATGCGGTAGCGACAGCCTATGAAAATTTAATTCAGCAAAAGGAATTAGTGGCAAGTCAAGCCTTAGCGCGGGAAAATCAAGTAAAAGAAGGTATTCCTATGTTACAGACAACAAGTCTAGCTAATAATAGCTTGAAGTTACCGCGAGTAAGTACGAGGGTCGTCTGAAAAGTTTTGAGCCTCATCATGAAGATGGCGTTACTCGTCAAAGCCATTCTGGTATTATAATCGTGATACTTACGAAAGATATCTGTGACAATTGTGGCCACTTTGGACGTTCAGTTTTTGTTTGACAATCATTTGTGTCGTCATTTTGTAAAAATGGAAAAAATTGAATATCGTGCTATAATTAAATTCTTGCATTTGAAAGGCAATACGTCTACGCAAATTAAAGCCGAGTTGGACGCTGTTTACAGGGACTCTGCCCCATTAATTGCCACCGTGAAAAGATGGGTAGCTGAATTTAAACGTGATCGTACCAGCTTAGCTGATGATGAGCGTTCGGGACGGCCAACAACTGCGACCACCACCGATAACATCGAAGAAATTCATTAAATGATAATGGACAACCGTCGAATTAAGGTTAGGGAGATAGCAGAGGCTGTTGGCACATCAAAAGAACGTGTTTGTCATATATTAACTGAAGAATTAAGGTATGCGTAAGTTAACCGCGCGTTGGGTGCCACGCTTGCTCACTCTGGATCAAAAACGCATTCGAATGAACATTTCTAAGGCCCTGTTGGAGCGGTTTAAGCGAAACGAGTCGGATTTTTTGCGTCGATTAATAACGATTGATGAAACTTGGGTCCACCACTTCACTCCTGAAACGAAAAAACAATCAAAACAGTGGACTGCGAAGGGTGAACCTGCTCCGAAGCAAGCGAAGACAGTTTTATCGGTGGGAAAGGTGATGGCGATTGTTTTTTTGGGACAGTCATGGAATTGTGTTGATCGACTATCTTGAAAAAGG